CTGGGATGGGCTACTGGGCTACTGAGATGGGCTGCTGGGATGGGCTGCTGGGATGGGCTACTGGGCTACTGAGATGGGCTACTGGGATGGCCTACTGGGCTACTGGGATGGGCTGCTGGGATGGGCTACTGGGGCTGCTGCGGTGAGCGCCACTGGGCCACTGGGATGGGCTACTGGGCTACTGGGCTGGGCAGGTGGGCTGATGAGCTGGGCTGGGGCAGCTCCTGGCAGGGCCATCTCACACCGGGGCTGGGGCAGCACCTTGAGCTTTGCTGGGGGGCTGAGGAGGAAGGAAGAGGCTCCCCTGAAGGGAATGCTGGTGGCAGAGCTCAGGGGGGTGGGAAGGGGGAGTCAGCGGCACTGGGGGGTCCTGCAGGCACTTTGCAGGGTCCCTGCCTGGGCTGTCCCCCCGTGAGCACAGCAAACAGCCCAGGCCCTCGCTCCTTGAGGAGCTGCAGGTTGTGTGGGATGGCACCAGGACATGGGATGGTCTGTGAGCAGCAGCCAGCACCTGATCTCAGTGCTGCACAGAAGCCAGGCTGGGAAAGCAGGGCAATGACAATCCATGGAAAATCCTGTCCCGGGGCTGGAGCTCTGCAGGGAGCCCGTGGGGATGAGTCAGCTCCAGCTCTGCTGACCTTGGAGAGGCCCTGGATCCGTGTCCTGGCAGATCCCTGCCTGGCAGAGCAGCTCTGCCTGGCTCCTCCTGCCTGCAGGACCACGGCAACCTGGAATCCCACAGGGGTTTGGGCTGGGAGGGACCCCAGAGCCCCTCCAGTGTCACCCCTGCCATGGCAGGGACACCTCCCACTGTCCCAGTGTCCAGCCTGGCCTTGGGCACTGCCAGGGATCCAGGGGCAGCCCCAGCTGCTCTGGGCACCCTGTGCCAGGGCCTGCCCACCCTGCCAGGGAACAATTCCTGCCCCAAATCCCATCCAGCCCTGCCCTCTGCCACTGGCAGCCATTCCCTGGCTCCTGGCCCTGCAGGTCCTGCTGAAGATTCCCACTTCAGTTTCCCTGTAGGCCTCTCCAGATCCTTAATTTAAGAGCCACAGTCTGCAGCTGTCACACAAAAAGACACAGAGAGAAACCCCCAGTGTGGTTAATGTTTGATATCCCAGAGCTTTTCTTATCCCTTTAAAGAGAGCTCTTGCTGGAATTCCCAGGGTGGGTTATCCAGGGTGGCAGCACCAGGGCATTCGAGGGTTCCAACAGGTGATGTTTCAGCGGGGCTGAGACACTCTGGTGTCCCCCAGAACCCCTGCAGAGGAATAAACCATCCCTTCCACCTTCCCTGCTTTTCCCTGGCTCATTCCTCCCAGCCAGGCTGGGCTCTGTGGGGACACATCTGCCTTGCAGCTCCTCCTTTATTGCTCCCTGCTGGCTGTGAGCACAGCCCAGCCTGGCTCCTGCAGCCAGGGGAGGGAAGGGAGGGCAGGGGGAGCTCACTGGGGCTCTGCTGCTGTTCCTGGGGCAGCAGGAGCAGCTCTGGCTCCCCCAGGGGCACTGGAGCTCTCCTCCAGCACCTGCAGCTTTCCCTCCTCACTGCCTCTCTTTGCTCCCTGAGCTCACCCTGCTGTGCCTGAGCTCCACGGGATGCTGGGCTCTGCTGCTCAGAGACACCAAAAGA